CATCATTGTTAATACTGAGCAAAATGACCTCCTTCCTCCATATCCATGGAACTAAATACACCCTAGACTTAGGCAAGAGGTTCATGAGTTTGGGTCAGACCCCGTGCAGAGGGAAGGGGGAGAGGAAAGGGAGGACAGGGAGAGGAGGAAGAAGAGGGAAGGAGAAGGAGAGACTGGGTGCTGAAGGAAAAGGGGGAAAGGGAGAAAGAAGGGAAGAAAAATTACATGCCTTCATTAACATGTGAGATTCATCTATGTTCTTGCTGACACCTCTTCTGGCCTCCACAAGCAGTAGGCACATGCGCACTACATGCAGTCAAATAATCATACACATAAAAGAAAACTGAATAAATCTTTAAAAGACTTTTTCAAAATGTAAAAACAAACACACCTCCTTCTGATGAAAATGTAACATGTAAGGTACTGCTCTTGATATGTATAGGTTTTACATGGGATGCATAGGCAAAGGCATTACATGGGAAACATGGACATAGGTATTATGTGGGATACACAAACATATGCATTTAGATATCATCTTAGTTAGCCAGAGCACACAGAGCTACCAAATTCTATCCCAATTCTATCCTCACTGGGAAGGAAGGTTCAAGCCACTGACTACGTTCCACAGGAACAATAAGATGAACGGGTAAAATGAGCGGTGGAGGAGTGGGGGATTAACTTCTTAAAGCCATCCTCTACGGTACCATTTCAAAACAATCTCTTGGTCTGAAATTTATAGAAATTGAATTCATCTATCATTAGTTATTACCAGTATAGCCCCATTTAAAAAGTTTTATATTACAATTAGTTCTTAAAATCGCTGTGTTTTAATTAGACCCAGGACATTATTAAACTAGCTATAAATATGTACCATATTTTATTTGTTAGACCCAGATGCCTGAAAAATCAACAAAATACCCTTAAGTCTTTCTGCAAAATGTCTTCTAATAAAAGTCTTTCAAAGGTTTCAGGTAACTGGAATTAACCTGAAATATTAATATTTTATATTAATGATTTGAACTATTAATATATTAGATTATAATATATACTAGAATGCTTATATAGAATATTATAATACATGCTCTCTGCTACAGAACATAATATTAAAATATACAGATTCTAACATACATATTCTCTGGTTATGAGTGATGATTTCTTTTTTATATACACACATGCATATGAGCACAAACACACAAGGAATGGTCACTCATAATATAAATATATATGTGTGTGTGTGTGTATGTGTGCATGTGCAGACACACAAGCACAGACAGACACACACACACACAGATATGTACACACAGGCACAAAGACAGGGATGAATGCTCAAAACAAGAGAACATATTGACTCTTAGAGCTTAGAGCGCCTGGCAGAGAGAATTTCTAAATTTGTGGTTTTCAATAGTCACATACAAAAACATCTAAAATCAAGAGATTGGACCAACACCTAGATGTAAATTTTAGCCCCAAACTGTTTCTACCACCTCATACAAACATTTTCTTTGCATTGTCAACATGTTTTCATAGATAGAGGATATGATTAGTTTACATTATGTACATTACAGGAAAGGTATCTGGTTCAGTTAATATTCAGTCAGAGAATTCAAACCCACCCCGCTTCAGGTTGGGTGATCACTACCACCTGTAAGCACAAAATTCCTTCAAAAAGAAAATCCCCAAACATTAGCAACAGCATTCCGTATGAATGATTTATAATTCAGAATTTCCCCTCTGTAGAGTGAGTCTTTGCAATCTAATTCAAGGATCAACTTCTCCTATCATTTCACTAAGGTAACTTCTTTCTTCAAACGTGTGCATACTTTTGAACATTCCTTATAGGCAGAAAATATGCACGGGCCCATGTCTTGAACATTCATTTCAGTGACTGAAGTCATGGCAAACTGCCACATTTCGCTGATTGGGTGTGACCATGTGGCTAAATTTCTGCAACAAGATATTAGTGGAAGGATGGTATTGGGATTCCAGCATTGCTACTGAGTGTGTGTGTGTGTGTGTGTGTGTGTGTGTGTGTGTGTGTGCGTGTGTGTGTGCGAGAGAGAGAGAGAGAGAGAGAGAGAGAGAGAGAGAGAGAGACAGAGAGACAGAGAGACAGAGAGACAGAGAGACAGAGAGAAGGAAGAAACTACAGCAGCTACCTTGGCTAGTGAGCCGACCTTGGGAAGGAAGGCACATGCTGTAGACGACAGAGCAGAAAGATAGGAGTTTTGTCTCCTGAGAGGCCAAGTCATTACATCATATTTAGGTGAGACTTACCTGTATTTCATCAACCTCGCTGTAATTATGTTAAAGAAGGGGGTAGAATCATATGTAATTTCACTGGAGCAAAACACACACAGCCACAGTTTTCATTCTCAACCCCTGCTAGTAATCTCCGTTGGCAAAGGAGAAGGAGAGAAAGGGAAGGAAATGTAAAATGAGAAAAGGCATTTCTGTCGCTTTACCTTCTGCTGCTCAGGTCACCGGGAGCTGCCCTTGGTCAGACCTTAGAGAGTTGTGTGCACGCTGTCTGTGCCACTCAGGTGACCACCGTGTAGCGACAGGAACATTTTTGCTTTAGTGTCTTAACTTTGACATTGCCCCCTCTCCATTTTTCTCGAGACAGGGTTTCTATGTGTAGCCTGGGCTGTCCTGGAACTCACTGTGTTAACTAGGCTGGTCCGAAACTCACAGAAATCCATCTGCCTCTGCCTCCTCAGTGCTGGGATTAAAGGCATGAGCCACCACACTTAGCGACATTGCTTTCTTTTCTAAGGTGTCCTGTCCACAAGCTACTGGAGTGACCTCGTACTCCTTTGTATTCTCCAGGGTTACTTGAAAACTATGTGTGTGCGGCCAGACTTCCATAAACACTTTGATCCGTTGGATGAATTAAGGTTTTAAAAGAAAAAGAAAAAAAAGTGAGGGAAGGAAGGACAGAAGACGAAGGGGTAAAAACACACAATGTAGAGGGGAAGGAGCTGAAGGAAAATGCAGAAAAGCTCTGTGTAAGTTCTCCCTTGCTAGACCTGAGCACGCATCTAAGCCTAAATGAAAATTGCCCAAAGGACCCCGGGGGCCAATGTAAAGCTCAAAGTACCTGGAGCAAGCACTCTCTTCAGTTAAGGGCCAGGGGGGTTTGCTTCAGCCACTTCCACAATTTCCTCATTGCATCTTCTCAATTATCATGGGCCTTTTCATGAGTGAACAACCCAAGTTACTAAGCCATGCTTCACAGTGGATGTGGATGATTTCAAACCGCACCAAAACTGGCTTCCAGAAAATTTGTATTTTACAATACTATTCTGTTAAACAATTGTGACAATGTAGAGAAAGAAATGAAAATAGTTGCTTAATGAGATATTACTAACTCTAAACTAAGTAGTCTTAAAAATCAGTCTCTCTCTCTCTCTCTCTCTCTCTCTCTGTGTGTGTGTGTGTGTGTGTGTGTGTGCGCATTCTGTGTCTCTGTCTCTGTCTGTCTGTCTATTTGTCTGCCTCTCTCTCTGTGTGTGTGTGTGTGTGCGCGTGCGCGTTCTGTGTCTCTTTCTCTGTCTGTCTGTCTGTCTCTCTCTCTCTCTCTCTCTGTGTGTGTGTGCGCGCGCGCACGTTCTGTGTCTCTTTCTCTGTCTGTCTGTCTGTCTGTCTCTCTCTGTGTGTGTGTGTGTGTGTGTGCGCACGCGTTCTGTGTCTCTTTGTCTGTCTGTCTGTCTGTCTGTCTGTCTGTCTGTCTCTCTCTCTCTCTCTGTTTGAATTTGAGTCTCATGTAGCTGACGGTGTCCTTAACAATCCTACTGCCTCAGCCTCCCCAGAGCTAAGCTTATAGAAGTAGTTACTATGCCTGACCAAGAGGTTATTTCTAAATAGACATAATTTCTAAGTCCAACAAAAATATGATATCAAAATACAAACAAACAGCAACAGTAACAAACCCACAGCACAGTATCTGTAAGAGTGGACACACTTCAGCAATGTGTTTCACAGAATCAGTATCATCTGGAAGACAACAACTACAAACACCACGTAGCATTTTGGGAATTCACACTGGGTTAGCAATGTCTTTTAAAGCTTGAACTATGCATACAATGCAGACAAGTGACACACAGAATATCCTAAGCACACATAGGGGTGTTCCACCTAGATTCATAAGCCAGTTTATATTCCACTGATTTTATTCCAGTCATGTGTAAGTCACTACATTACAGGTCTGTAATGTACCTAAAGCAAATATTCTAATCGATTTTCCTGAATTAAGGAAGTTTTAAAGTATAAGCATAATTATTAGATATAGGAAACTGTTTCTATCTCCATTCTTTTATAATACAAATCAAGTATTATGATAATCTAATTTAAGATAATTATCTAAATGTTAAAGCAACAGCCTCATAATCACAGAGGTTCTGCTTGCAAAGGTGGAACTGTGTTTGAGTCATTTTATTTATAATTTATATTTACAGCTCTAAAAATACTATATTTTCTTGCAACTTGTTCATGAACTATATTCCCATGTCACTTTTTTGTTAGTGTTCCACAAAGATTTCTCAGATATATCCAAGACTGTACGTGGTAGCTTCTTTGACAAGAAAATGTAGAAAATAAATGATGTGTCAACCATAAATTAGCATTTCCTTTCTGACCAGCTGGGTCATGTTTCCTTTTCAAAATCCTCTGTCCCATGACACAAAATAATAATCATCTAAAAGACCTCATTAAGTGATCAATATATTGACATAACCTCTATAAGGAGGCACATAGCATTTTAATTGATTCCTTGAATCCATTAACGGACTATTAAACCCAAGTCTCCAAAATATATTGCAAGAGAATATTCACTTGTTTTTACTTACTATTTTCCCCAGGGTATAATTAAGGGTACATGCAAAGATCCAAAATTTTCATATTTCACCAAAGAGTAAAAGAAGTTCAGTTCTTACTAAATCATTTGTGCCAAACAATCTCTTAAGAAAAAATAAAACAGGCAAAGTTAAACCATGTGTACTCACCAAAAAACTTCCAAATGCTGAGTTAAATATCGCAGCCGCCTAAGAAGAGAAGAAACAGGAGAGAAACTCACTGAAAGCAAACAGCAACAGAACAAGCAAAGATGATCGGTCTCCCTTTCCCCACCGTTCCAAATCTCAGGCACTGACCCTACAGAGTAAAGTTAGTCACTGCTTTTGAGAACACCAGCGGCCTGTAGTTTACTAAGATAGATGGCTGCAGCTTGGGAACACACCCATAATAGGTCTCAGAAGCAGGCAGGAAAAGGTTTGCCAGGAGAGGTTTCAAAACTGTATGACCAATGGCTCAAAAGAATAATCCCCGACAGTAAATCAAAGTGTGGTTATTGTTGATTTTGCTGCTAGAACTAGGCACACCAGAGGTTGATCTACACATAATAATGTGTCCCTACCTATGAACTACCATGAGGTGACAGCTGTTGCCCCACACTTCAGCACCAAGGGCAGGACAATTGAGACCAGGAAAACTATTGCCATGCTAATCATTCCTTGGTCAGAAACAAGCAAAGAAAAGTGCCATTGGTACCCAAAATTAAAGAAGAAAAGATTGATTCTGCTTACCAAAGCATCCTTGAGGACATGGAAGAGGCTATCCACCCCTCAACTAAGTCAGTTCCTGTGTTCCATGAAGCTATACCTGGTGGCTTTTCACATTACTCAAAATGGGGAAAAAACTTGTACAACATCTGATTTGATGAAAGAAAATGCGGTGTGGGGGAGAAAAAAAACAAAACTAGGCAAAAGCCAAAAGCATGTTGAGAAAACCTATTTAAATGCCCAGCAGGTCCAGAGCAGTGTCAGTTAGTCGTTAGGGACATTCCGGGCCGCAGTGCAGAAGAAGAGGGCATCCATCGGTTTAGGAAGTTTGACTTAAGTCCAAAGCAGGGCTAGGCTGTGCGGAAAGTGCTTCTGCTCCAGAGGAGGACACAATGAGAGTGAACGGGTAATGAGATCGCCGGCTCCAGAGAGCTTGGCTCTCTTATGCCGCTTCATAATTAATTCAAAGCTTTGATAATTTCATTAGATTTCTCCTTTGCTAGTCCTATCAATAAAAGATGGCACTGGACCCCAGCTCTTCTGTGGCATGAACACAGGCAACAACCACAGGCCAGGGAAACCTCTGCTTTTTGACGGAGACAGAGGCATATGGCGTTCTGTGTTGTACTGGGGGAGACGATGAGGAATAAAAAGATTCAGCCACATAAATTATTACAAATGACAGCTATAAACTACAGAGACATTATTTTAGGCATCTCCCTAGACTCAACTACGGACAATTCCAGGAAAGTTCCACATACAGAGAAAACAAAGGGGATACAAGTGGGCTGTGGTCAGAACCACAGGGTGCGCTGGCGTCCTCACACACATATGCACAGATTTCCCAGAAAGCTGTATGTGCAAGCTGCATTGTATGCTCCAGATAGATCTAGCTTTTTCAAAGAAAGAAGTTAGGGCTTTCCACCAGAGCTTCTCCTTCCACACCATTTTCAGACTCTTTTCCTAACCTTATACCAGATAGCAAGTGAGCCGCCCAGCACTGACAGAAACGTGGCATCACTACAAGTGTAACTCACAAGTCAGAACTGAGAAAGTACCAGGGCTCCTCCTGATCCAAACCCTCCAACCCAGCCACTCCTGATCACCTCCGTGATACAAACATAAGTAGTATTTCATGTGGACTGGCTGAGAAAGTGGTACCACGATGAGATGCCCCAGCCACCTCCTTGGCCGGTTTCTGATTGTGGGGAAGATCTGAATTCTCTGCTATTTCATCCACTCAGGTGGGAAATCAACACCTTTTGTGAATTGATTAATTTAGGGCTCTGGTACTCCAAAGACCAGGTGAAGTTAGATACCCTGGACCCACAGTGTGCAAGGAGAGAACCAACTCCCACAAGCTTGGGCTCGATTCTACAGCAGCAGTACATGAGGGAATTAGGACTTCAAGAGTTTTGGAGGCTCTTTTCTGATGTAAGGAGGGCTGCCCTCCCCTTCACACAGTCTGCAAGGCCTTCTCTAGGTGGCACTCTCCTTTTCCTTCTCTGCCTCATTAAACTACTCCCTATCTCCCCAAATTCATGATATCACGCTATTTCTTACATCTTTGCTCCCTGATCTAAAATAACTCCTCCCTCAAGGAAGGGGGAGGACCTTAAGCAACCCTTGGCTATCCTAGCAATTCAGCTTGAGGACCACGCCTCCAAGCAGCCAGTGAAAACTTACATCCACACCATCCAGAGAAGGGACTGGAACACAATACTCTAAATATTTAGTAAACCGAGATGAAACTGACTCTAGACGCACAGGAGTCAGGCCAAGCCAGAGTGGTGAAGCCAGGGAGCTGATGCTGTAGGTGTGTCCATGTTGGAAGAAGCCCAGGCTCTGGCTGCCAAGGGAGACATGACAAGGCCAGCCACACCCTTTGATGCCCTATGGTCTGATGCTACCAGGAGATGGACCAGCAGGACTTGAGGCCGTTCTGTGTGTGTCCAAGAGCAGGGCAGGTGTTATGTCTGTAGTCCTCAGCCAAAGCAGCTCCTTACTGCCATCGAAAGACTACATAAAAGGGAAGATGGCATCTATAGTCCTTCACAAAGGAGAAGAGCCCATGGCTGGAACCAGAGCCTTCTGAGCCTAGCCTTCTCCCCTCTGCATGACTTCTCTGGCTGTTGCATCCTGGAGCAGGAAAGAGCAGGATGTGACCAGTATTTGCCCACCCACCACTTCCCGATGTGGTCACCGGCTGATCTGACAGACTCTCAGTTGGCCAGGGTTCTGTTCTTCTCAGACAGTTAAAAAAAAAAAAAATCACTGGATTTTTTTCAAAATGAGTAAAGGAAGAGACAAAGAAAACAGAAAGCTTAACCACGCTGCAGAAGGTCTGAAGAAGTTGCAAAATGCTCTGAATGGATTTTCTTCATCAAACATTAACAGAATATGGGTCCCTGTCTCTCACCACCTAGGTCCTCTGGATCCCCAAAGCCTGACCATTGGCTTCCCGTAATGGTTATTCCCTTCCTGCTCAAAAATACCTCTAGAACCTTCTATGCCTATGACCCAAGAGTAGATCAGCCAAACCAAGACCCGTACCCCCATGCCCTACTGGGTTAATAACGTGGCCTTGCTAGTCTGTGAGGATTGTAGAGACACTGGGAGCAGGCTACTCAGCAAACAGACACACCTGTTGCAAGCTTGGCAGCCTGAGTTTGCTCCCTGGACCTACAGTGTGCAAGAAGAGAACCAACTCCCACAAGCTGTCCTCTGACTTCCACACTTCCACACCAAAGTGTGCCCATGTGTATTCTCATGCGCATGTGCACACATACACGCACAACAATATTTATAAAAGGACAAAAATAAAAATCAAAATTCCCATTCTTGAACAACCAGCCTAACAGACCACTGCTGATGATTTAAGATATTTAGACATCCTAAAACTCTATGATGATTTATCTGAACATCAAAAAAAAAAACCCAATTAGAATACAAAGTTTATTCTTAAGCAAGGTGGTGGAGTGCCTGTCTGTTCACCTAGATATTCAGCCTACACAAACAGCCATGAGGTAAGGTGAAGTAACTTTCTCCCCAGCCCTGACAGAAGACCTTACACTCAATAGTCTTAAACAAATTATCACATGAAGAAGAAAGGGCTAGTATGGCCACGAAGCATTGACCAACTGAAAGAGGCAGTTTGGAACACTTTAATTCTTTGTCAAGCCCACTGCCGGAAGGAGCACAGTTACATATTTTTATAAATACCAACACACTTCCTACTTGAGAGGAACTGTCTGTCATCGAACTGCTGTTCCAGGAGTAAGCTATAATTCTTTCTAATTTCTGCAGGTCTATTTCTTGATACCATGATGGGAATATTTTTTTCTTGCATATCCTTTAATCTGAGGTGAACAGAGTTGCTATCCTTGTTTGTAACTATTCTTCTCAAGTCAGGCATGGAAAATATGCAAGTTCCTGTTTCTGGGCCCTAAATTGAATCAGGTGTCCTCTCCTCTTAAGAAAATGAAGCTGCTTTGGTGCTGGCGTGTTTTAATGAGAGCGGAGTCGGCCGACAGTGACAAATGGCAGTGACGCCGGAGAGAGCACGCGAGCAGGACAATATGTGCGCGGCACAGGCTTACAGACTATTTTTCACTGACTACTCTGAATGACTTCGCTGTTTCTTAAGGGGCCTATTAATCTCAAATTTAGTTATTACACAACGTTTATTTGAACATATATTCTGAGGATGATGACAGTTAATAAAGGCAATCTTTCACAAGCTGTATTTTACATATTGTTCCACTACAGCTCCTAGTCCTTTGATGGTATTGACGGAACAGTCGACATTGTTTGTACCAGGCTTATTTTTTTTTACAGCGCATATATTCAGATTCCTTTCTAAGCACATGGGAACTCTTAAATAACTGTTAAAATGCATTAAAAAAAGTCTGCACACAAAATGGTAAAAGTAAAAGGGCATCTTAACTGTTCAACAAAAATCGTTTAATGTACAGACTGACCCTCCTAAGACAAACCAGACGCCTTTTCACACTTTTAGAGCTCGGACGCCTAATATACACCAACCCTTGCACACCAATCCACTCTCGCAGTGTGCGCAGAGCCTGGGACAGAGGGCGAAATCAATTTTCTTGAGGTGCAAAAAGAATCAAACAGCAGCTACAGTGTTCTACTCCTAGGATGTTTACCATCAAGTCCCAGGCACTGCAACAGTGCAGAGGCTGCGGTGGTCTCTAGTGGTTAAAGGACCCTTTTTAAATTCTCCTTAATTATCAACTCAAATAGATCCATCAGTTCAGACCGGGTTCTGATTCTGGGGGAAATAGTGACTTTAAGTAAAACTGGTGCACAATAGAAAAATTAACGACAATCTAGAGGAAGACTTGCAAATGTCCCTTACCACTGAGATTCCTGTGACTTCCTCCTGAAATCTCAGGTGCAGAGAAATTGCAGTGGGCAGCATTCCTGGATTCACTGGCAAGCCCTTCACAATCAAGAAATAAAAC